TTGCTTCTAAAAATTACGGTTCGCGAGCATGAAAACAGGCAAAAGGATGTCTGATTTTTTTTTCCTCTCTTTCCTTCTTTTCTTTTAAATATTTGCTACATAGTCGGGGTAAGGAAAAAAAATAAAATGGCTGAGCAAACTGCGTGTAAATGGGGAGCAAAAAAAAAAAAAAAAAAAAAAAAAAAGGGCAAGGCTGGAAGAGCCGCCGTCAGGGCACGGACTGCAAGCAACGCCGAATTAAACAGAGAGGGGGGGCGAGGGGCAGAGAGAGGCAGCCCTAGACAGAAATCCAAGCAGCGGTGGCTTCAGGAAAGGCACTTTTCAGCAACCTGCAGGAAAAAGAGAAATAGAATCAGCCAGGAGCCGGGGCGGCCCCGCTGGGCGGGCGCGGGGCGGCGCCGGCGGCCATTGCGGGCACGGGGGCACTGTCCGCGCCCGGCGGCGCATGGCAGGCGTCGCCGCCCAATGGCGCTTGCCGTTACAGCGGCATGCGCGGGCAGCCGACCAATCAAAGAGACCGTTTCATTGCGGCCGCGGTCAGTGCCCGCCGCAGCCCCGGGACCCCCCGGGACCGGACCGGGACGGGGATGAGGACACCCAGCCCAGCTCTCTGCCTCCCCCGCAGGACCAGCGCCGTGCGCTGCAACCCCCTAGCCCTCCCAAACTAGGGAAGAATATTTTTTCCTTAGTTTTTTTTTTTTTTTAAAAGTTTTTAATATTAACTAGCCCACCTCCCTTCTGTAGGAAACGTTCAGGCAGGGAGAGCAGCTTGGCTGTTGTAGCTCCAGCTCAGCCCTACGCCCCTCCCGCACTCCGAGGTGTTCCATTTAACGCATCCCCGGCACAGAGGTGCTTCCTGCCATGGCACATGAAGGCAAACGACTGGTTAGCAGTCGCTCCTCTATGGATTCAGAGACTACAAAACTATGAGCAAACCCGATAGGGAAACCTAAGCCACACACGCACACACGGAAAAAATTAACTCATTGCTCACAGCTGTAGTTTTCCACCAGACCAAAGGCAACTCGAATTACTCTGACTCCAGCAACTCGTGTTATACAACAAACAACTTTTAATGCATTCCTGTTCAAGGCTTCCTTGGCATCCACTAAAATGTTAAGCTGTCCCTAGAGTCTCCCATTCTAATATTAGTTGTGCCACTGCCGCCTGATAGGATTGGGCTGTTTCCAAGTTCCCAAAATCCAGCCCTTTATCTTCCTAAAATACGGCCGGCCAGTTTTGCAAACATTTGACAGGCGCAGGATGTTGCTCGTGTGACTACTATTAAGACTTCAAGCTTTCGCAGGAGAAGAGCCCTCAACTACAAGAGAAGGAAGCTTAAATTCCTCTTTTATTATTGGTGTGTTATTGCAATTACACTGATCAGTAACTGAAACCTACTGGAGCTGGAAACAATGGAAACAATGCTACCAAGGAAGAAGTGTGGGAAGAGGCTGTCATCAGCAGCAGGGGGTGGGGCACAGAGGCTGTTTGATTCACAGATCGAATTATTTCAATTTAGAAAAAACAACGCTCGTTAAACCTATACTGCAAGTCTTTTCCAGGCTTAATTAAATTTAAGCTCATAACAAAAACTACTCAGATCCTTGCAATCCATCTTGCAGCATCAGCACAGAGCTTGGTCTGACCCACACTTCTGGAAGGACCTTTGGATTTTTGCACGTCAGGTGGGGAACAGAGACTGCAAACGTCACATTTGCTAAGTGTGTCTTAAACTTCAAAGAGAGGGGGAAATAAGCACAACTAGCCATGCTAGTATCTTTTTGGTTTCATAACGAAGAGATGCTCTAAATCAATTCCAATTTTGCAAGTGGGGCAAATTTATATAGGAATCCCATTCACTGATGTGTGGGCTCCCTGTTCAAATGAGCTCAGCAAGCAGGAAAAGATGTGCAGAAACATTCTGCAGGGAGCTAGGGACTGGCTGGGTGCAGCTCTTAAAAACGAGCTAGAACAGGTCAGATATGGGTGGGGATTAGAAAGAATGCTCTCTCAGAAGCGGTTCCGAGCAGACTGAAATACAACCATCTTGTGGATTGAGTGCCTATTCCACATCTTCAGATTCCCAGGAAAGTGAGGGTCTATTAATGCTTGGGCTGGAATATGATGGGTCTGACTTAACACACAGGTACACCAAGATGTACAAACAGTGTAGTAACACCTGCCACTTCCCCGACCTTCTACCTCAAGAAATCCCAAAGAATGTTAACAAACCAAACACTGATCTTGCTCACAGCCATGAAGCTCAGGAGCACACTTGTGCCCACAGGTACATACCTCCACTAAGCTGCTCAGTCCTCAAAATGAAGAGAATCATGTTAATGAAAGGTAAATCAAATAAATACTGCAAAACACAAACTACCAATAGCAAAGCATTCAGACACATGTAACACAGTTGATACTTTTCCTTTATAACCCTTGGTGGGAGAAACAAACAGAAAACTGAAGAAATACTTGCCAATGCCCTCCTGCTGATGGAAACTGTCCCTGCCCCACACCCTGCACTCCACACTCGTCTGTTCAATGTGCAAGAGTGAGACACAAGGAATTTCCTGTGCTATGGAAACAACCCACCTCCCTGCAGAAGGGCAGACTCTCATCTCAGATCCTGGGACTAGGGCTCCTGTACCGGAGGGAATCAAATCAGTGAACACATTTTTTATACTGGGGGCCTCAATTCCACAAATTTCTGTCCGCCTCAATTCTGCTGCATGCCACCCAGCAGAGCACAGCAGCAGCACACCCTGCCCCATCACTTGTTTGCTCTGCACTCAGGAGAGCAGTCAAGCACATGCTTAACTTTAGGCATGCCAACAGTCTTTCTGGAAAGAAAACCTGAAGCATGCTTAAGTGCTTTGCTGAATCAGGGCCTAAATAAATGAATCTGCTTCACAGGTTTATCAGGGCTGGGAGGCCAGCAAGCACAGGCAGCAGTCATTGCGTTTCGGCTTACGTGACCACAGCCCAGAGGAGCACGAGTTAGGCTTTTCTGCAAGTCAACAAATACAGTTCTGTCAATGTTTGGATTGCTGCAAATCCCTCTCCATGTGGCCACGGGGAAAGCTGAAAACGTGTGCATGCAGGGCTGACATCACACTGCTGCAGCGAGGCTCCCACGCACGGCGCCGAAGGACAGCACACCTCAGACAGGAACCCGCCGCTGACAACACAGAGCTCCAGCTCTCCAGGCTTCAACTCCTGGCAGCAAACAACTCTGCTTTCACCATAATGCATCCTTACAATTCCCTTGTATTTGGAGGGGTGGGGAGGGTAGGGAATATGTATGTGGGGGTGACTGGCATTTTATTCACTTTGTTCTCCCATATATTTCAAATGGGAGGAAAAAAAAAAAAAAAAAAGGCATCCATGCCAAAACCAACATACAAGGATTAAAAAGTAGCTCCAGAAATCAGGGGCTTTGTTAGCGTGCAGGAAATACAACAAAGGGTAGGTGCTGCCTTTTGAACCCTTCCCAGCAAGCCAGATCCGTCTGGCAGAGCTCGGCTCCTCCACTACCAGATGGGCCAATCTCATTTCAACGGCAGCAGCATCAAAGCTGGAGAAAGCAGCGGAGCAGAGAGAAAAGCCCGTGGCCTTTATCCCTCTAAAGAAACTATAATATCCCTGAAGCCCCTGCTCCAGGGCCACTTGCTGGGCCAGGCTCTAATTGCCTGAGCTGCAGGAGGATAGGGCTTGCTCCAGATGTCAGACCCAGCCTTACAGCTACCGAAGTGCAGGGGAACAAGGGCAGTCTGAGGAGCGAAGGTCACACTGGGGCTCGCCTCTGGTGGGACTGAGATGCCCTCACTGCTTGAGGTAACATGAGGACGAGCGTATTCACTTGACGCTTGAATTCCTCCTGCTTGCCACGAAACTGATCCCCTTCCACTGACAGCCCCTATGGACGTCAACTTGTGAGGACACTTCCTGACAGCCGAGTTCAGAAATGGTAATTTATGTGACAGGGTGGATTTGAGCAGCTCCCAAGTGTAAACGATGCTATTTAAAAGAGATTTTTTTTTCTTTTTTTTTTTAGAAGAAAAAATGACTCAGTAGGAGTGCCAAGGTGGGTTCCTTATTTACTGTTTCTCAAGGATTTCTGGGTCATGATTGCTCAGTTGAGAAGCACAAGTGCTGTTGCCCTGACAGTCCAATGAGTGAGAAGAGCAGTTATTCCCTTCTCCTAAAGTGGAATAGGGATAGTGCAGAGACACTGGAGTCTTCCCAAAGTCAAGATCCAACTGTGCCCTTTCTTTATTGTATGTGATGCTGTCCATGCTCCTCTTCAACTCAAACCACCGTCATGTGAGAGATGAACAGATTGCTCTGAGTCCGAGCTCAGCCCTACAATGCCAGACTGCAGTGTGCTTTATCCAGTTTTGTAAGTTACAATCAAAGAATGCTCAGACCCAGCCAGCCTGGATGGATGGACACCCTGGAGGCACAGCAGCAGAGAAACTGTGCTTGCAAAATTAAGACCTCAAATCTTTCACCAATTCAACTACAACTTACATCCCACACCTATTAATGTTCACTGAGTGTCTAGATATTGTCAGAGCCAAAGGTTTTTTGTTTCTGGACTTTCCTCAAAGCATTAAATTCAGCTGGCAGCATAAGTGACACCATCATCAGTCCTTGCATCTTTGAGACTATTCTGTAACCTTGACTTTTTATTGCATCGTAATGGGTATAGAAGAGCTTGGTGTGCCCACCACCCTGTCCTTGATAAAGCAGAATGGGGAACTCCTCACTCAAACAGCAGTGAGATGTTTCCACTATCAAACACTTTTCCAAATAAACCCAGTGTTCCTGGAAATACTGCATAGCAAAGAGAAACGGGAGCAATGAAATTA